TATATATTCCTTTCCCTCCGTAATGGGGTCCAGTCAAACAAATAATGGGGGAGGAAGAAGAAGTGAAAAAGGGAAAAGGTGAAAACCCAACTCTGGGAGCGGGACACTTGCTCACCGAAAGAGATCAGTTTTCCATCGTTAAATAATGCACCATTCAATCAGCGCACACACCCACACGCTCACACTCGTTCACCTGGAGGGAGGACAGTTCTTCCCGTTTTCCCTGCCTGCGTTTAAACAGCAGTGACGCGCTGACGAACGCTCGCTGGAAGAGCCTGCAGATGAAAGGGTGAGTGCAGGACACAGCGGGCGCATAATGGCGTGTTTTGTAAAAAAGAGCGTGAGCGCAGAGCCGTCCTAACTTCACAAAGTGAGAAGTGATATTGAACGCTCCCGACCAGCGATGGGTGCGGGCGAAGTGGCCGTTTGAAAGAGTTGACACACGCACCAAACTGCAGCCATTCCTTATCGATATTGTTATGCTTTTGGGCCCCGATTCAATTATTCCGCTATTGTGCAGTACAGTAGATACCAATGTATGATTGAAATCAATAACACAACATTAAAACAATCACCATGAACTTCAGAGATTTTCCTGAGAGAGACCGAAAAGGAACCTCTGAATTCTAGTTGAGGTGAATAATTTGCCATTTTTATCCTTTCTTGTGTCCAAATCCTCCATTTCCCATAATGCAACCAATTTGCAAGCCTTCTTTGCTGTTTGAGCTCCATATTTGTCAAACTTTGAGCACTCGGTCTGGAACACAGCCTTTATCAAAACTACGTTATAGAACATCATGGTAACAAAGAAATGCAGAAAGTATTGTCACTATGATTTCACTGAAATTGATACTGTCCAGATAATATTGAACAGTATAATCTAGAAAAACAAAACAAAACAAGAGCCTTATCTCCACAATGGAGTTCACTCCAGCTGCTAGAAATTGTAACTAGAGCACCATATACACTCCTAAATATAGCCCCCAACAATTGCAGGCACATGTCCTGGTGTTGAGTAAGGAAATGACTCTTTTAATATTAGATCTGTGTGCTGCCATATGAATGTCACGGTGTCCTGAAGCTGAAAAGATTGCACTGATATACAAATGCACTGGTGATTTAGATATTTTCATGGACACAATGAAGTCAAAGTGATAGTACCTTTTAAATATATACACACAATTTTTTAGATTTTCACCCAGAAATGACATATTAGGGGTAATTTTTAGGTTCAGCATCTTGTCTGAGCATGGTTTTTCTTGCAAACTAAAGGAGCCAGGAATTAAAACACAACCTTAAGATTGGTGGACAGCCTGCTATCCTGCCTGAGTCGTAACTGCCATATAATATGATGAACTCTGCACAAGACAGAGTAGACGATTATGGTATACCTCGAGAGTGCAGGATAAATATTGCAATTGCAAGGTGATTGGCTGCATCGCAATACCACAACCTTTCTCTCACAAAAGCATCCATATAAAGAATTCCATCTATCAATCAATCCTTCCATTTATTTTTTCCGGTTATCCAATTCAGGGTCGCAGGGGGGCTGCAGCCTATCCCAGCTGTCCTAGGGCGAGTGGCAGGGTTCATCCTGGATAGAGGAGAGGAAGTTACATAATGAGATGTTTAGAAAAACGGTTTATCAAAAAAATATATTAAACAGAGATTATTAAGGAATCAGATGCAGAAAGTTTCCCACTAAAGTATTACATTTTTCTCCTTTTTAGCCTTTCTGCCGTCTCAGGAGAAATGAATGTCCGAGTGCTCACATGAAGTCCGTGTGCATGTTTATCAAATCACTGCCTAAAGCCTTGCATTCGATCGCACATTTCACTGCTTCAGATGTGTAGAAGGGAGCTTGGTTTCACTTGTATTCTAATGCAGTGCTGTTTGTTTCTTTGGTTGAGAATCATACAGCCTCCGTAGGTGGAATGAAACCTGTGATTCATCAGATACCCTAGTGCAGGCAGGCTTAAAGGGAAAAAACCCACCTTAATGCATTCTATCATTGTGGTAATATTCCAGTAGCAATATAAAATAGCAAAAACAAACAACTTTGCACTGTGTTTAGGACCTTGGAGAATTCTTTTAAAAGGCTCCTGCTGGTCCCCACTTAAGAACCAGTGCACCCATGCAGGAGTACATCGCTCTGTAAAAAAGTTTATGTGCTTACAATAATAATTTGTTGATATAAATTGGCTCCCACAACATCTTTCAGACCTTATGAGACCTTATACCAGATAAGATTAATTGAACATTTGGTATCATCCATGTCTGTGGATGTCTGCTTTTGGTGGTGCTCAGTTGTTCCACAGTCAATGACGAGATGGAACACCTCCTAGTGCACTGACCCCTTTTCCATAAGGGAAATCAGCTTGGCTGATGTTATTAGGTCCTGTTGTTTCCACGGATTTCTCCTTACATTTTCTATTTACAGTATCACTTAGCCTGATCTCAGTCCCGCTCATTAGCCTTCATCAGGACACCTAATTAATGCATTGGGCTCACTTTTGTGCCATTTCTTAAAGTGGAGCTTTAGTGTTACGATTGGAACCCAAACCAGGACCTCTCCTTAAAGCAGCAGCTGAAAACAAATTGGAACTAACTGTGAAAACAAAGCTTTCACTGGGGAAGTGAACAATGATATCCACGTCGTTTGCGTATCTCTGAAACACCAGTGGATTATTTCGGGATACTCCATCTGTGACCTTTCTTCTGCTTCATAAGTGACGTAAACGTCCGAGCTAAATCTAATGTCGCCTTTATTGGGAGTTGCTTTTCAGAAAAACGCATCAGCTAAATGCATGTATATAAATGTAAATGTCTGCACTCAGCCTGCGTGCTTTTCTAGTGCGTATGATACAGCTGTGTCCTTCAAACTGCAAGGACATGTGGAGTTACTGAGAATTCTTTTCAATGATTGATACATAATAGCTCTCTTTCAGATTTGCACCCTGTCTCACCTGGATGCACTGTGAGCTTTTCTTTTCAACACAAGCCATATATGTGTTTTTATAAATGCCCGAGTCAGACTGTGGAAGCATCTGAAAATAAAGTTATTCATAAATACACAAAGGTGCCTTTTTCTATAGGCTCTATTTGCTGTGCTTAGACCAGCCCAGTGCAATTTATACAGCCATGGTTGAGAAAATACCAAATTTCTCCTCCACTAATGAACCAGTGGACATGAAACACTGGATAATTCCATTTCACTGTATTTTTTAGTGTGACTGAAACAATTAGCCAGTTTATCGGGTAGTTAATTGACTGCAAACTAATGGACTTTTCGATAATTAGTTAAATCAATCAATATTTTGGAAAATACACCCATCTACTCTTGTGGCACGATGAGAAGTTCTTAGTACAGACTAGAGAGTGTTAGTGTTGCTTAGCACCCAGTCAATAGTGTATTAAGCTTTGTGCATAATTATTTACTTACTTGCTTTGGACAAAGCCAGGCTAGCTGTTTGTTTCCAGCCTTTGTGCCAAGTTAAAATAATTTACTGTAGCCTTCAATCTTCTTATTTCAAAACAAGAAAGTAAAAATCACATTTCCTTAAATATCAAACCTTTGCTCTTCCAAGCTCAAAATGATGTTTTTTTCTTTGCAGTATGGAAGTTATGATGATGGCTTATTATTTAAAAGTGACATCATGACTTTAATGTGTTATATGTAACACATTAAGTAAACAATACTAAAAGTTCTATATGTGAATAAAATAATGTAGGTGTAAAAACAAGAATATTACTGAGAGAAAATCTTGCAAGACAGTTGACTTAATAGTATGGTCTTATTTGACTGTTAATTTATATATCTAATATAATAGTATAACTCAAAATTGATCTGAGACCACTCTAACAAAGAATAATTAATTACTGATGATTTTTTCTAAACCTGAATGCTAAAAATAGACTGTTTCCATCATGTCAAATATGATCTTTTGTACGTACTCTTTCCCTGTGCACTATAATGTCATTATGTTTGTAATTGAGTTCATGGAAATTAAAGTTAAAGCTTTTATTGTGAATTTCATGGGGGAAGTTTTGAATAAGAGAACTGTGAATTTAAGAGCAAATTTACTTTTAAATCAGTGTTAGTGTTATATGGCTATAACCAAAGAATACTTTACTTTAGAAGTCATTGTTATATCTGCAAATCCCAATGCAGATGTAAG